GCTTGGGTGAATGGGTGGAGGAGGTTCGGGCTTGCATGAGGGCGCGACACCTGTCACGGGCAGATCAGGCGTTCTTTTTGTACGACCATCTGGAAAGGTGAGGCCGTAATGAGATCAAATTCCGCTCCGAGGAGGAACGAAGCGACCCAGATGAAATAATCTCTATCCTTCAGGAGTTGTATGGGTGCTCCGAATCATATGTGGCCTTGCAGGAACAATTCTTTTCTCGGAAGCAACAAGAAGGGGAGACATTACAGGAGTTCTCTCTTGCCCTGCTGAGCCTTATGGACAAAGTTAAAGCATGTGCTCCCGCGCCTTTGTCGAATGCAGAGTCCTTGTTGCGCGATCAGTTTATTGAACATGTACTGGATGGTTCATTGCGGCGCACTTTAAAACAATATGTACGCCAGGATCCCACCGCAACCTTGCTTGTGGTCAGGGGGGAGGCGATGAGATGGGAGCGCGAGGGTCTGCCAGCTGGCATGCGCGGGCGTAGTAATTCAGTGCCTGCAGCCTTTGGCCTTCATACGCCGTGCATGGGGAACCATCACTGACCACTTGCCACGCCCCAACTGAGGTAAGTGAGGTGAAAGAGCTTCTGAAAAAGCAGCAGGAACAAATTGGTCTGCTACCAAGAGTATGCCCTGTTACAGGCTGCGCAGGCCGGTCCACAGCGTAGTCGCTCACCGCGTCGGGGCCCCATTGTGGTGCAATCGTTGCCAGCAGCCTGGCCATATCGCCCGACATTGTGATGGGCTTCGTGTCCCTAGTCAATGGGAAAACCGACCCACACAGCGCCAGTTCGGTCCCCAGGCGGAAAACTAGCGCCCACCGTGCTGCAGAGCCAAAGCTCGGGTGGGGCATCCACAGGCTCAACTAGTGTGTTTAAGGGTTTGGCAGATGCACCCAAGTTGATTGCGTCCTGCCCACATATCGATGTGAATATGGCTGGAACAACTGTGCCATGCCTAGTTGATACAGGATCAATGGTGTCTACTGTGACCGAAGGGTTCTTTCGGCAGTATTTTGAGCCCTGGGGGGAGGAACGCTTAAAGGCTTGTCATTGGCTCCAGCTCAGAGCAGCCAATGGACTTGAAATCCCCTACATCGGCTATTTAGAGTAACTGTTGAGCTCTGCGGTAAAGTGATGCCCCACTGTGGTGTTTTAATAGTTAGGGACCCCCCAGGGAATGTTTCCCCACCAATCCCTGGAGTGTTGGGAATGAACATTCTTAGGAAATGCTACCAGGAGTTATTTGGACAGTTTGGACCGTCTCTGTTCAAACACCGATCCCGTGGTAGCATCCCCTGTTCAGTTGGTAGACGCCCTCCCAAAAATGTCATGCTGCGGACCTGCAGCCTTCCCCAAAACAGCCAGGTAAGGTTAAGGTGCAGGGAAGGAGGGCCGTTCGAGTCCCAGGGGTGCTATGAAGATTGTTGCTTCTACCTGTTCTGAGCGGTACTCCAGTACCACAGCATTGTTTGAACCCTGGAGGCTGGTCTGCCAGCAGGTTTTGTTGGCATCACCAGCCTTGGTTCAGGTGGTCAGGGGTACCGCTTATGTTCCAATTGTCAATGTTGGTGACAATGACGTGCTGCTTTATCCTCGTACCCTAGTAGGGACACTGGACAATGTCACAGTGGTGAGCCTTCCAGCAGGGGTGACAGAGGTTCCCCCAGTGGCTGCGAGTGTCTCCTCACAAACTGCTGCTGCTCCAGCTGCGGACCTGTTTGCAGAAATTGACCTGTCCTTCCTGTCCCCTGAAGAACAGGTGAAGGTGCGGTCACTGCTTAGAAAGTACACCTCTGTGTTTGCTGCAAATGATCAGGATTTGGGTTGTACCAACCTGATCACTCACGACATCCCCCCTACTGGATGATGTCCCGGTCCGGCAGCGATACCGCCGCGCGTTCCTCCATCGGAATATGAGTTGGTGAAAGAGCATATCAATCAGCTCTTGAAAGCACAAATTATTAGAGAGAGCTCCAGCCCATATGCTTCACCTATTGTCTTAGTCCGGAAAAAGGATGGCAGCATTCGTCTGTGCGTTGACTACCGTCAACTCAATCTGAAGACCCGAAAGGATGCTTTTCCGCTACCACGAATCGAAGAGTCACTCGATGCTTTGACAGGGGCCCGCTGGTTTTCCACTATGGACCTGGCCAGCGGGTATAACCAAGTCCCTGTTGCAGAGAGTGACCGGCACAAAACAGCTTTCTGTACGCCCTTCGGTTTGTTTGAGTGGAATCGTATGCCTTTTGGCTCTGCAACGCCCCCAGCACCTTCCAACGGTTGATGCAACGTGTCTTTGGGGACCAGCAATGCCAGTCGCTCCTTCTTTACCTGGATGATATTGTTATATTTTCGTCCACGGTACAGCAACATCTGGAGAGGCTGGGCGTGGTGCTGGGGAGGTTGCAGAAAGAAGGGCTCAAGGCTAAACTGAGCAAGTGCCGTTTCTTCCAGCGGGAGGTGCACTACCTGGGCCATGTGATCTCCGATCAGGGAGTTGCCACGGACCCCAGCAAAATTGAAGTAGTAGTTAACTGGCCTACACCATCCACGGCTACGGAACTCCGTTCCTTCCTTGGATTCGCCAGCTACTACCGACGTTTTGTCGAGGGTTTCGCCAAACTGGCTGCTCCCCTACATCGCAGAGTTGCTGAACTGACTGGTAAGAAGTCCAGGAAAAGGCCCGTCCGGAGTGATGCTGGACCCTGGACCCCAGAATGTCAGCAGAGCTTTGAGGCTCTAAAAGCCAAGCTCACCATGGCTCCGGTACTTGCCTACGCTGACTTCTCCCTCCCATTCATTTTGGAGGTTGATGCAAGTCATGCTGGATTGGGGGCAGTGCTCTCCCAGGAGCAGGAAGGGAAGGTGCGGCCTATTGCCTACGCCAGTCGAGGGCTGAGTCCGACTGAGCGTAATATGTCCAACTACAGCTCTAAACGAAGCTTGAGTTGCTGGGCCTTAAGTGGGCTATGACTGAGAAGTTCAGGGAGTATCTCCTAGGCCATAGATGCATGGTCTATACTGACAACAACCCCCTGAGCCATCTTGCGTCTGCCAAACTGGGAGCTGTTGAGCAGCGTTGGGCCGCCCAGTTAGCTTCGTTTGATTTTGAGTTGAAGTACCGTTCAGGTAAGTGTAATAAAACGCTGACGCTTTGTCTCGTCAGCCTGGCACCACTTCACAGGTATCGGCATCCAGGGCCTTGGGCACGTGCTTGCCTGAGCAGTTGCAGCAAGCTTTGCAAGGAGTAGCTACACGGGCAACACAGTCTGTGGTGACTGTCCTCCTTATGTTGCCCCTGCTGACCTCCGGGAAGCTTCAGCAGTCTGACCCCACCCTTCAGGAGATCCTGACCTTCTGGCAACAGAATCGACAGCCCACTCGTATAGAGCGACGAGCCCTTTCTTCCGCTGCCCTTTTAGTGCTGGCCCAGTGGACCGCTTGGTTGAGTTAGAGGGGCTGCTGTATCGGCAGGTGTTTCGTCCTGATGGTGGTGGGGCTGTGTATCAACTTCTTCTGCCCAGAGCCCTTGTTCAGGATGCCCTCACCCAAGTCCATCAGGAGCATGGACACCAAGGTATAGAAAGGACTTTAGCCCTGTTGCGTTCCAGGTGCTATTGGCCTGGTATGTCCCGTGAGGTAGCCCAATGGTGCCAGGCTTGCGAGAGATGTCAGCATGCAAAGGACAATCAACCTGTTGCGCACGCGTTCATGAGCCACTTACTGGCTTCGCAGCCGAATGAGATTGTTGCAGTGGACTTTACACTACTGGAGCCAACTCCTGATGGTCTGGAGAATGTGCTGATAATGACCGATGTTTTTAGCAAATACACCTTGGCCGTCCCAACCCGCAACCAGCTCGCCTCTACAGTGGCGCAGGTCCTGGTTACGGAGTGGTTTGCAAAGTTTGGTGTGCCGGCTCGCATCCACTCCGACCAGGGCCGGAACTTTGAAAGTAAACTCATTCAGCAGTTGTGCAGCTTGTACGGGATCATCAAGTCTCGCACTACCCCATACCACCCAGCAGGTAATGGGCAGTGCGAACGCTTCAACCGCACGCTGCACAACATGTTGCGTGCGCTGCCTACATCCCGTAAGAGAGACTGGAGTTCTTGCCTGCCTCAGGTGCTGTACGCCTACAACACCACTCCACATCAGTCTACAGGCGAGTCGCCCTTCTTTTTGATGTTTGGGCAGGAGCCGCGACTGCCGATCGACTTCCTACTCAGTCGGGTGCCAGAACCTGTGGGGGGAACTGTGCACGAGTGGGTGCAGGAGCACCAGGCACGCCTTCAGGTGGCCTTTGATGGTGCCAGGGAGAGACTGCACATAGCTGCTGCACGCAGAAAGGCAAATCATGACCAGAACGTAAGACAGGTGGTACTTAAGGAAGGCCAACTGGTGCTACTTTGTGACCACAGTGCCAAGGGTCGTCGAAAGACCCAAGATCTGTGGGGCCAGTCACCCATGTAGTGCTTCAAGCCCCCAGAGAAGGTGGTGTTGTATACACTGTGGCTCCAGTGGATCAGCAACCAAAGTGAAAAGAATACACCGGTCTTGCTGAAGCCTTGCGTAATAGTGACTCTCCGGCTCCCTACCGGTCGTGAATCCTCCTGTTGCACCTTCAGCTCAGTGCCGGACGACGAACTGTCCTTTGAGGATGACTTATTTGTGCAGGTGTCTGCCTCACGCCAGCAGCCTTGCTCCCTGCATAGTGGTGCGCCCCCACCCTCAGGCCTCTTTATCGCAAGTTTTCTAGGGCTCCAGAACCATCAGCGGCCTCTTCTTGCTCCTTTGGCTGGCCAGGCGCCGTCGCACCTGAGCCAGCAACTCGTTATCCCGTCAGGTCACTGCGCGCAGATCTACTCGGTCAACAGCTGGCCAACACCAGAATCCCATCATCTCCCAAGGTCATACTGGAAGCCGTCTAGGGGAGTTGATGTGGCCGAATCGTCATCTAGGCCACCTATGTAGTGTTTAGACCGTGGTGCTAAGATGCATCTCTTCATCGTCGGGTCGACGATGCAAACCGGGGGGGTAGAATGTGGCATGACCGGCTTTGAGGGTCTAGGCTGCAGGTGCTCTTACCTGGCGTTCCGTGGCGCTGCGCTGGTGGGCTATTTAAGCGCTCCCTTCTCAGTCGTTCCCCCTTTTGGCTCACACGCTCTTCCGGGCCTCTCCTTGTGGCCGCTCTGTCCTCCCGCTCAGGTAACTTCATTTTGTAACTTCCATGGCCGTTATATCCAAATTTCCATCCACGTCTCTTTTTAGTGCCGCTGCTTGGCCACTGCTTGGTCGGTGCTCTGCACCGCATCAGTCCCTCGCTCCTCCGAGTCGCGGAGCACCTAGGGCGCGCTTTCATCTCCTCTGACCAAGGTAATGCACGCCCGATACTCCTCCACTCATTCATCCCTGCCCATACTTTAACCGGTGTCTCTCGGTAGCTCCACGGGTAAGACGAGTGAATCCCTCCCCATTGCGCTTGGCTGTGCGCCGCCGTGTCCCGTAAACTGCGGCGGCAGGTAACCAAGACCCTATTCCCACGTGCTACCTGTGCCAAACAATTCTCAAAATTGTCTGTTTGTAGCGTGTGCTGGTCCACGTGTTTGGACCACGTCTGGACGGTGTTATTCTGTGTAGTCGCATTCAGCCGGGGATTGCGCACTGTCACACTCAACCACGGTATGTTTGGCCCAGATCCTTACGCTGCAGGCGCTGAGTTTAATCCCAAAATTTAACTTTTCAGGTGTCGGCGGGGGCCTGCAGCGGCGTGAGGACACCACCTCTGCTGTTTTGCTTTTAGTTTTATTTTGTTTCGCTTTTAGTTTTATTTTGTTTTGCTTGTAGTTTTATTTTGTTTTGCTCTTAGTTTTATTTTGTTTCGCTTTTAGTTTTATTTTGTTTTGCTCTGTTTTGTGTGTTGTGTTCTGTTTGCTTTGTTTCAGTTTTGCTTTGGGTTTTGGGGTTTTTGTTTTGCATTTTCAATATTGTGTACCTATTCACCCACTGTAATGTTTTACTGGTTGCCTATTTTTATGAATGTAGCTACTTTTAGCATTTAAATCTGTCTTATAAAACAACAGAAAATCAATAAAGATTGTGTAATTGATGGAACCTGGCTCCCTCTCCCTCTATGATGTACTTACCTGTGTGCCTTACCTTTACTTAATTTCCCCAAACTAGATTTGGGGTGGCGTTGTTGCAGCAACATATTATCACACTTAAACAATTCTCGGAGCGTTAACCCCTCGGTTGCCACAGTAGTATTAACTTATACTGCATTATTAAGTTACAGTTATTACTAACCATACAAATGTGATAAGGAAAAATATATATCAAGGATATGACATTGCCATTGCTTAGAGTAGTTAAAGGACCTATGTTAGGCTATTTCCTAATCGATGCTATAATGTTGTTTTCTTGTCAAAAAACAAAACAAAACAACATGTCTGGAGTTGTGTTATGTTTCATTCACACATGTTTAACACACAAATCCTGCATAATTAGACTTAGTTCTTCTCTCAAATAGAAAACACTGTCCCACCTTGTGATACCATGTGACAATACAGGAAGTGCTCCACTGTGTATTTAAACTCCATAACGTTCACGAGAATCATTTTAGACAATTCCTGCTCTAGAATTGCCAATCTCTATTAAACTAAATGTAAAAGGCAGTTGTTAACTTGAAAACTATCACACTGTGACATCTCTAGGTAGAACAGAGTGTTTTGACCTTTGGAACTGTAGACAGGCTAATAATATAGGGTTACTCAAACATGCATGGATAAAACAAAATACATCATGGGTGAAAGCTCACAAGAGTTATTTTTGTGTAATATAGGGCTTTTAAAAAGAACCCTTTAACCCTCTACAAATGTCTGTACAGAGAAGAATGAAACACACCATTATACAGGGAAATCCTCTGAGTGCTTAAATACCTGTTTTCTGTAGCTGTTCAAACTCAGCGTGCCCATTCACCACCGTTTTCCATGAACTTTGACTCACTCATGCTTGTGCCCCACATAAAACACTGCAGCCTTGTTCGGACTCCTGTTTCACTGTGTAAGCAGAGCCAGGCTAAACATGCTGCAAGACTGGACCTCAGACACAAAGCCATGCTCAGAAAGGCCAGACAGCTGCACTCAATTACATTAACTACTGCGGCCACAAAAAACACACACTCTCTGTCCAGCCACTGGCTCCAGCCATAATCAACGACTTATTCAATAAGCTCAAAGAAATGCTGCTCTCTGCTCTTTGGAGCCAGCCCCCTCCTCTCCCACCCTGCCCACTACACACTACTGTTCACCACCACATGTTTTACAAGACAGCCTGGGTGTATTATCTCTATTATGCTTATATTGTTATTTACATAATGTTCTACTTTGCAAACACTATCATAGTCCAATAATAATAGTCTTGCATTCATATAAAAACTGGACTCTGTAACTGTGAAGGGTGCTACCTGCTTGTTCCCATTAAGTTATTATTGCTTTGCTTAGAATGTTTCATGCAGGTTATACAAGTGCAACAATTCTGGACAGGTCTGTGGAGAGGTGACCCCATTCACTGTAAGAATGCATGTTTTTTAAGGTGTCATTTTTAGCTTAAAAACTTGCAACTTATTTAAATTACATACATGACCCTCTAGAAAAAGAGATGACTGCTAAAGCATGAGTGGCGGTCTCTTCCACCAGAAAAGCTACATTTAAATAAACCCAAAACAATTGACAAAATTTAATGTATCACATAAATGTCATTGTACTCATTGTATTAGTCCAAAACTTTGATAAATGTAATGGTTACTTAATAGGTCCTTCAACATAAAATATTTAAGAAGACATATTTCAGTTGGAGACAGACCATTTCCTGTGGTGAAGAGGAAAAACTAACCCCTGATTTTGAATGGTGATGATTACATAAAGCAAACTGAAGAACTGCAATAGAACTAACTGAAGCGGTCGCCACTCCATCTGTCATTATTTTTAATTGAGTTATGCTTTGCACTGTCGGTTTAAAATGTGGGCACAGCATAAACAAATGTTAAACCACGACAGAACGCAAATTATTTGAAACTGTTGTGGGGTAAAACACAAGCTGTTACAAAAGTTCTCATTGTAAAATTTATTGAGTTAAGAACATTCTCCTGTAATACGACTTCATTCCACCAAAGTTCCACAAAGCCTGCATTTCTTCAAGGACTTCCTGTTTGGGGTCAAAGTTTAATGCTTGGGGGATAGCCTTTTACCTGAGGAGTGGAAACAAAATTGAGGTTTCACGTGAAATCTGTGACAGCGCTGTATAAACATTCCCATGTAGTTCTTGGCCGTTGGAGCATCACACATTTCTGGCATTCAGCTGGAGTTAACATGTAATCCACAGGGAGGTGAGGAGCGAGGAGCGTAGCTTTAAGGATCAGTGCATGTGCTGATCGGAGCTGTTTTGCTTTGGGTTAGTCCTCCCCCACAAGGAACTCACTGGCCTCACAAGATATGTTTTGGTTAATCATGACATGTTAGGTTCAGAACGGCTGAAGGGATGTGTCAAAGACTGAAGACTGTGTGAAGCTGTGGGTGGGTATTTATCACATTGTGGGAACTAAAATATGCATACACACTCCCTTTATTAGCCTGATTCATCAGCCGCTTTCACTTAATGAAAACCGCCTGACCTCGCAGTTTTAGGATTTGTTTGCTCAATGGTAGGTGGGTACTTTTTTATTTAACCAATCGCTGTTATTTGGTCATAACATATGTAATGCGCCGCTAACGGGGCTAACTGGTATATTAAGCTTTTCCCAAATCCCAAAGGAAGAAGGGCAATAACATCTTTCGCCTTGATAAAATTCACCAAACACTCTCTTTGTTCCGGCTTTAAATCCCCAATTTTGGGAATCATTGCCAACACGGAATCTTTGTCTACATCCATCTCGACCGCTTTGTTTACTGTTCTGCTGTCCCACAAAAAGTGACAGCGTCGTGGCTTCACAGCTCTTTGCTGGCGGGCCAGTGCACAGCCAACAACTTCCGGGATCTTGCAAACTGTCTAGCGTCTAGTTCTGATTCCTGACCTAGTCGCTGGAGAGAAATGATATCGAGTGGAGGCACTAGGTGACGCCAGCCTGGCTTTTTTTTGCTGTACTAGAATAAAGTGTAACAGCACATCCACTACAGTAGTTGGCAGTGTCACTCTCATTGTCAGACTGTGCGCTGGGAGTATTAGTGCTATAGTGTCAGGTTTTTTGCACGGAGCATACGCACACACAGCACAGAGCAGGAAATATGTAGTGCAGAAAACAAACTGTATATGTAGTAAGTGTATGTAGTGCTTGGCTTCACTGTGATTACGGTGGGAAACGAGGAAAGACTGCTGTGTTTACTGTGTCTAAAAATGTTGGCAGTGGACAGCATGAAGCCAAATAAATTACGGCGTCGCTTAAAGACACCCCAATCATGCTGATAAGCTGCTTGAGTTTGCTGAATACTGTCAACAATCATCCCGCTTTGTGAATGCTACTTCAGTAAACCAGCGTGCACTGTTAGTTTCATATAAGGTAGCGTACCAAATAGCACAGGAGCTGATACCACTGCAGCATTAGATAGATGATGCAAGTGCCCCAAACTAATACGGACATCACCCTTAAAAACGACACACAGGAGTGGAACGCCTCATGACCCAGGTGAGCGCAGCACAGAATACGGACACATGCTGTGTAATTGAGAAGCACTGCTTTATAGGGACTGGTTTCCTTATGAAGACAAAACAATTACTCATGAGAAATATACTTTACTAATAAATCTACAGCATGATTTAAAGTTAAAATATGGGTTAAAATAGAGGTTATGTTTAGGGTTTGAGTTAAGGTTAAAATAACTATGGTTAAGGTTAGGATCAAGAAATGAATATGATCCATTTGAAGGGGCACTGCGTAACTTCTAAGGTGGAGGGTTCCCAACTTGCTTGTTTCCATGGAGATGTTATTTCTTTACATGGATATTTCCACCATATGACATTAAACGTATCTCTCTTGAGTTTATTCAATTACAGGTGTTTTACAGCTCAAAAAAAAAAAAAAAAAAAAAAAAACATGAATTCTTAAGATGTCCGCTCTTCTCCAAAGATCGGAGCATTAACTTGTCTCCATTGTGATAACCACATTTATTTCCAAGGCAAAGCAGTAACATCTGATGAAGGGTCTTCCACCTACTTGTCTCCATGCAGATAAGTTACACAATGCACCTCTAAAGTCACCAAGAAGCATATAAACCTAGTACGTGGACATGTGTGCATGTCTGTGTTTGTCTACCAAGTTATTTTTGGCAATGATTCCTCAAGTTTAACAAAGATGTGGGTATAGTAGTCACTAGAACATACGTGTTAATGAATTATATTTTAAGTTCAGTGTCTAAATTTGTGAATACAGTTTTCACCCTCAATTTTAAAGTGAGAAAATAGCATTCAAAGTGGCTTCAAGCAACTGGAAAACTGCTACGTAAGACGACGACTGTGTTCAAGCTGGTTTCCATTGTGTACTCTGATTCACCTCATTAAGTATAAACATGTTAAGTAAGCTGGTCCTTTAGCTAGGTGTTTTGTGACCAATTCTCCCACCTAGATTTGGATATGGGTCCTTGGGCACAACATTTACCCTTAAGACATTTTAAACTACTTTGGCAATGCAAGCACGATTCATTGCCGAGTTTGCATTCAGCAGATTTCCTTTACATTGCTTAGTTGTAGCAGTAGTATTTACGTTTACAACACAGTGACAGGAGATTCAGCTGTAAACTTTGCAAAATGCAGTTTTTGTTAGTTGTTAAAGGTGCATTGGGCAACTTTTCTAATGCAAGATCTACCTTCTTGATTTCTTGCCTCCATACTGATGTTATTGTTGTTGCCCAGAACGTTCCACAGTATAACATTTGGATGTACTTATCAAGCAATTATTTAACCACTGGTGTTTTATTGCAAAAAAATACCATGAAATAAATGCAATCTCACTGTGAGGCTGCTTGCCTTTCCATAGATCTGACCTGTACCCAGCCAGCCTGGTGACGTCACCTGGTTGTATCTGAGTACATATAACTTGAAAGGAATATTTCAAAAGCAATAAA